CTAGAAGGATTATTTGTAATTTGGAAAAAATCAATCAGAAAAATTAATCAACACAAAAAGTCTGGTTTTTATTAACATTTGTCTCAAAGAACATTTGCTGCCTAAATACACAGAATAATGTTTATGCACAAATGCGTGTGAAGTGCATTAAAAAAAAAATCTACTTGATAAGTAATTATGTGCTCAATTATATATATATATATATATATATATATATATATATATATATATATATACACACACACACAACAAGCATTTGTTTCAGAATGACTCCTGGTGAATAACATTTTTAAAATACAGAGTCAATCATGGTAAACAAGCAAAAAAAAAAATACTGACTTTAGTCATCGTTTAACTATGCAGATAACAGCTTACAGAGAAGAAAAATTCCTGAAAGACCCAAATAATGGTGCAGTCTGTGGAATATAATGTTATCAGTGCTTCACATAAACTTTGGCCACTGCCAAGTATAGACCACAGATTGGAGGAACAAGTTCCGGTTACAGAAAAATATATGACCCCACCCCCAAACACACACAATTTGACTGCGATGAACATGTATCTATACATTTCCTGGTTGAAGTATTAAGTTTATAAACAGAAGAGGAGAATGGAAACACTGTTAGGAAATAATTCTATGTTCATATTTTTCAAATGTCATTTTCCTTACAGGATTTATGTATATCTAAACATTCATTATTTCAGGTTTCTTTTTTACTTTTTCTCCTAAAGTATAAAGTCGCGATGTTCCGCACTTGTCCATCAAAGGTTGATTCTTCTGAAAAGAGGATCAGATTTCTTTTCAGTTTATTAAATCAAGAATTTTCTAAAAATATCAAAATAAATCCACTCCATCAGAATTTTTGTTGCTTACTTGAGATAGTATTTCATTTATTAGAAATATAAACTTTCAGTAAAAATATTAATCTTGGCATTGAGTTTCTTTTTTTATGCAAAGAGAAGCAACTGATACTAGACGTATTTCAAGGGATAAAAAGTCAATGATGATATAGAGGTTTATCCCTTGTTCCCTGTTCAGATTTGGGTTTCTCATGCCTTCTAAATTCTACTTATCAACTTGCTTGGGGTTAATTGATATAAAAAAAAAAATATCAATATCCCAAAATTCTCGAAACAAAAGAACTGTACCAAATAACAGAAACCATATCACTTGCAGACTACCAAAAAGCAGCAACAAGTAAAATGGATAGCATATGTAACTCAAAAAGAAAATAATGTCATAATCAAGATGTTGACATTCCACACAACTTCGAACAAAAGGTTAGGAAAGAAACCCCCATTAATACTTGAGGGAGTGATAATGGCTATTGGACTTGAGAAACCTATTTTCCTGAAAAATTGTTTTAAGAGAAAAATTTTATAAAATTTCAACCAAAGGTAGTACTGGCTGCTCAGTCAAATGAATGAATGCCAAATGTTTTCTTGTAAGGAAACGGCTAATATTACCATTATTATTCTATGACTGCTGGGATTTCTTGCCCAGACACTTCTGCAGATAATGAAGTAATCACATGCAGAAATAAGCTTGCATGACTTTACTGAAAAAGAAAGGGCTATTTCTGTATATTTTTTTTTGTTCTCTGAAGGATGAGTAAATTTTCACTATTATTATTTTTTAAAAACATTATAGATTTATTCTTTTTTATTATTATGTGAAAGCATACGAAGTAAAAAACATAATTTTATGCTTTGTTACAACATCTAGACACTTTTGTGTCAAATACCACTGCTTTGTTGAACAAGTTTCTGTGGTTTCTTCCATTAATGTTAAAATCTTAACCAAGTCTCAGATCAAGTGTTATCAATCCTCACTGTCTACTTAATCTTATATTCATTTCACATACCTCATTCAGTAACCCTCTACTTTGAGTGGCTCTTGAACCTTGTCTTGGGTGGACATTAGTTTAAAAAAAAAAAAAAAAAAAAAGGATTTTGAATGAAAATATTCTTGCTATAATTTTCCTTCCTTTGTTTTATAGCCTTAGTCTTAAAAGGTTTAACTCAGATAATATTTTAAATTTTAATGTAACAATTTTTTTTCCTCTAAATGTTTTAATTCACTCAAACAACATACTATGAGGGTCAGCTGGAAAGTTCATGTGCTGACCAAGATATAAATGTAATTGAATTCAAAATGCCACAAATCATATTAGCATTGTTTTAACAAATCAAATGCATGTGAAACATGATTAACCAACAAAAATCAAACACAGAAGATACCAGAATTTCTTTCTTTTCTTTCATATCTTGTTCTGATGAAACTTGAATAAAAGTGAAACATGTTAGATAAACATTTCCTATTTGTTCTTTGTCTTACCATTCTGTTGGATTTCAATCCATATTTGATATACATTTGATCCCAACTCATAAATGTAAGTAAACACAACAGATCATAGGCTAAAAGATATGCAAGTGTATCAGAATACAACTAGTAAGCCTATGAACTTTTCAGCCAACCCTCATAGAATAATAAGTGGAAATTGTTCAAAGACTTGTGACAGAATTCAATTGTACCTGATTCCATTATGACTTGGTAAATTTATCTTTAAGAGAAAAATGCTAAATTTGAAAGAGTCCAAAGTGTCAAGAATACATAAATGATGGACACAAAAAAACATTTATGAAATTAAACAAAGAACAAAGAAATCAAAACATACAAAAAACAAAAATAAAAACACAAATTTCAAATAAGGAACTAAAATGTCAAAATCAATTCAAAACAATGATTGACAAACATCAATGAATAAATACAAAGTGAGCTGACAAATGAACATTTATACGAGTCATGCATGATTTTTTTTTCTTTTGCATTGCCAATATGTATTCAAGACAAGAATTGATCTACTGCGATTAACACAGAAACATTCTTGCTAACATCTCCACAAAGAAGAGGGGGGGAATTAAAAGAGACAAAAAGTAACAGGAAAAACAATTCAAAGAATTCCAAATTAATTACCTGAACAAAAATCATTTAAAAAATTAACTTGGAAACTTCATGCATTCTAGTGGAAATCAATCTAAAATCTAAGAATATTCTATCACCTTCAACCATTTTGTTATATTTAATTTCTTTTCATCCACATGCCCAGTTTGCATGCCACATAAGCATTTCTTTATTATTTTAAGTTTTGTTGACAACACTGTCTTCAAAAAAAAGAAATAAAAAAGACAGTGTTCCAGTTTCTGTATCTTGACCTTTTCTGTTGTTTTATATTCAAATTAAATCTAAATTGTACATATTCAAGACTACAGAAATAATCTTCCAAAACCTGTATTTGCATTTCATATTATGGCAACTATCTATGTCCTGTAGCAACACCTACACCTTTGACAAAAAAAAAAAAAATACTTAGAAATATCAGGTAGAATTATAGATATTACGACAAGACATAGAAAGTTCACATGATAAAAGATAATTGTTTGAATCTCATCCAAAGACTCCTTCAAAACTCACAATTTGAAGGGTCAAAGAATGTATTGGTTATAACAATAAAATAAAATGTAACCAACAACAGAAAAAGTAAATATAGTCAATAAAAAATATCTTTGAAAGAAACAGCTTCATATCAATTAAAATAAATCCAACATTCTAATATATTTTTTTTAAATCATGCAATATTGACATACAACAGGACACTTATACTTAAGATCAGAAAGAAAGAGTTGAAATTTCTAGGACACATAATGAGGAAAGAGTGCTCGAAAAATTTGACACTCACAGGACATGTTGAAGACAAGCGAGACAGAGGAAAACAGCGCATAACCTATCTTCCAAGCTTGTGTAAATGGTTGGCAGAACAGGGGTTAGGAGAGATGGAAAAAAGACAAAATTTGCTAAGTGTTACAAAGGGCAGAAAATTATAGAAAGCCATAATTGGCCATATCCTTGCTCTTTTTTAAGGATTTGTATTAGTGCCATTTTAAGTAGTATTCTAAAATTTCTTTTATTCAAAGCAAAAACCAATGGAGAGAATTCTTAAAAATCAAAAACACACATTCAAAATGTATTTTTAAAACTAATCTCAATAGACTGAAGAATTTGCCAAATCAAACCAAAAAAGAGAGAGGAAACTAGATAAATCAGAAACTAAATATATTTTCATTCCCAAGAAAAAGATCAGAATGAGCGAATGGTTCCAGCAGTCATGGAATCTTCAAAATATTAATATGACCCAGAAATTTGTAAAGGGTTAAAATAATTTACAACATCATAGTTGACCTTTATTCATTTGAAATACATGTAGACACAGTAGTTTCAATGTTAAAAAGAACTTATCTCACAGAAATCAAAATTATTTGTATATTTGAAAAAAAAAGAAAAAAAAGTCCTGTAATTTCTAAAACAACCCAAATCAAGTACACTGACAGAGTGATTCATTTTTTACAGCTTATCAACCATTTTCAGGTTATTTAAAACCAGAAAATATTCTTAGATTGTAAGAATGTTTTGTTGAGATAATAATAGTTTAGTAATACAAGTCTTACTAATTAACCCATAGCTGGGGACGATGAGGTGGATTCATATCTAATAAGAATTGGATAAACAAACAAGAAATTATAATATGGATATAAAATGGCAGATCAATTCTATATTACATTCAGTATGTAAACTGATCCCTCACTTTGTCGTCACAATAGTTTCTATACATTTATATTCCAGAGAATGTAAATAAATCTAAAAGATGACTGTAGCTAATCAGTATTTGATTCGTTAAATTTCTACATCTTATCAGCCCTTCGCAGGTTATTTAAAGCCAGAAAATATTTTTAGATTGTAAGAATATTTTTTTTGAGATAATGATTTAGTGATACAAATTTTGCTAATTAACCCATAACTGGAGGGTGAAGAAGTGGATTCATACCTTTTCTCGTGTATTTGTGCGTAAGTTAACATAACAAACCCAACAGGAAATGGGATATGACTCTCCAATTAACAATTTCCAAGCCATTATCCATTACACCACCCACAAATCCAAATTTACAGTACCTGGTATTCCCAAGCAGTCACCCATCTAGGTATTGACCAAGGTCAATGTTGCTTAACTTTGATGATCGTACAGGAATTGGTGTTTCAACATGATATGACCATGATAATGAATTTGAACTTAGAACGTACCTAAAGTTCCAGATTCCTTTTTTAGATACGCCCATGGCATATTTGTGTTCAAGGTGAATGTTATATTAATAGTATGAACTGACAGCATGGGGTTTTATTTATTTTAGCCATACAAAACTTTCTTTGGTGTCATCATTGAAAACTAATTTAAGAAACAGTATGGCTAACAGTGTATCAAAGAATAAGATACCATATACACTTTTTACATTCTCATCTTGATCCCCCCCCCCATCAGAACATCTGGACACCATCACAGTCCCACAAAGACATATTTGCGATGGTATCAAGGACAGGTCAATTGAAACATGGAGGATTACTGCTGTGATCACCAACGGGTAACAACCTCAACACACAAAATCAGAAAAAATCTCAAACATTTCTGTAGATATCAGAAATAAAATAAGCATTCTATATTTATTTGGTTACTTATCTAAATTTTTCTGGAAACTGATGCTGTACTCAGCTAAATCATGTATGCTGACCCTGAATCTGTACTCAGAATTGTTTATGTACATTATTTTCAATTTTTTAAAATATGCTTGTAGCAGGTTCAAAGTAAATCCTATTATAATTGTGCTTGTTCCTACCTTAATTAGTCTGCATGACCATTACAACCTGGCAATGCCTCTCAAATAATAAACTATACCATTTTGGTCATGTCCAATGGGAAGTGGGGAGAAAATACTGCTTTGTTTCAGTGAGAAAATGAAAAGAAAGAAAGAAGGGAAGACAGAAATGTTTAATGTCTCCTGCCAATACCTCATAAATAATGGACTATTCTGTTTTGATCACGTGAAATGAAGGAGAAGACACTACTTGGTTTCAGTCAGAAAATAAATGAAAAAAAGAAAAAAGATAGAAGTGTTTAACATCTGTCAATACCTAATAAATAATGGATTATTCTGGTTTGATCAAGTAGAAAGAATGGAAAGAGCACCACTTGGTTTCAATGAGAAAATGAATGAAAGAAAGAAAGAAAGGGAAGATAGAAATGTTTAATCTCTCCTACCAATACTTCATAAATAATGGACTATTCCATTTAGATTGCATAGAAAGATAGAAAAAGAAACTACTTAGTTTCAATGAGAAAATGAATGAATGAAAGAAAGAAAAGATAGAAGTGTTTAAAAGCTGTTTAAGTGGAAAAGGTTGCCAATTTCAAATCTTCATTTGTACCCACTTCTTAAAATAACAACCAGCATTCATATTTATTATTGTTATTTCAATACTTTTTAAAGTTGTTAAGCTCAAATATTTAACAATGTGATAGGGGAATTTCTATGGACATTTTATTGTCATAGAACATAAGAATTAAGATTCATCAGAAATTTCAAATAGGAAAACAATTAAATTTTCACAGGTTAAAACTAATATTATATCAATAGTATATTAGTATCCACCTGTGCTGGTGACATTAGATTTATGTGTTTGTTGTACAGAGCTTTCTTGGGTCTTATCGAGTTGAAAACAGTAGATGTAAAAAACAAAATGTTAACATTGTATCAGAGAATGAAATGTTAGATGTCTATTAAAATGGACTTCTTTTGTTTAACAGATCTCAGTGCTGTGTCATCCTGGGTGTCACGATAAACTACATCCAGCAGTAAGGCATCTGATCAGGAGGTTTTCAGGAGCATGGAACCACCTCTTAATTGTTGTTATTCCCAGGTCCAACCTGACCCCAGGGTGGTAACACCTGTTAGGGGGTTTAGCTATGGGCAACTTGTGATCCCCACCAAACAAAACACTATGAAAATATAAAAGTTCATTCTTTTAGTAAAAATACTAGAAATACATGTTAGGAGTCCAAGTTATGGGCAAATAGTTAACCTCTAAACTGGGGTCAAAACACTATTAACATCTAAAAATAGATTTTTATAGTAAAAATACCAGCAATACATTTGACTCAACAAAAACCCTCTTTACAAAAATACGTCAATGAAACCTGATCTACAAAGTGATTTCTTAGAAAGAATACATATTCTATTCATACAAACTGATTTTAAAAACCTTGTTGGCATTAAATAACCCATTGAGGATGATATTCCATAAATCAAAATAAACCAAACTCGGTGCTGTATGCAAGGAGCATGGAGAGAACTTAGAATATAAATTTTAAAATACAAGAAAGAACAATACATTGTCACAGCCAAGATTATAGAATCAATGTCAACTCTATGATCTTGTCAATGGCTGCTGCATAGTATGAGCTATGTCAGAGCTACTTATAGTTTTAAACATGCAGCTGGCATAATGGTTAGTGGTTTGGAAGGAGAAATTGATGAACCAAGTTCAAATTCCAGCCAAAGTTGTTATATTGACTTTCATGCAAAACAACCCTTGGGAAAGATATCATCCCATTTCTTCTCTTCCCATTTATAAGCTAAATACCAGGGCTCTCTTTTTTAGCCATGGTTGGCAACCAGTCTAGAATGACAACAGAAATAATAACAAAAGAATAGAAGAAATGAAACAAAATCAATGCATGCACATTAATGATATGCAATAAGCAAGACATGACAAAGAGAAGAGAATGTTCTGGATCAAAAAAGCAGCGATTATAAAATTAAAACAAAACTCACATACACTCCCAAGACAGCTATTGTATGAGATTCAGTTAATATTTCTATAAAAGTGTTTGCTAGTAGGAGATTCAAAATAAACATGACCTTGTCTGAATGTTGTAAGAGGGCTTCAATCATTGTATGTGGTTTTTCTTCTGCATTTTGGGATGCACATTTTTTTTTTAATCATTTCATCATAAGCAAGGTAATAATGCCACTAAGATGCAAGGGATTATAGAGAGTCAAAGAGAATGAGAAGACCTTAATGAGAAATGAGAAGATTTGGAAGAATAAAAGATGGCAATTAGTGTTACACTTAAATTTTTGAAGTCAAGATATTGGGTCAGGAATGATTACATTACAGATTCTTCTTTGAATTTTGTCAAGAATCTCGAGATATATAGCAGGAGCACCAAACCAAATATGGCAACAGTATTCAATACACAGATGAATGGTAGATTTATGAAATGTGCAGGATGAATTCTGATGAGAAAAATTGTCTGTCACAACAAAGTAAAGAGTAAATAGTTTTCATCTGCATAAATACCTAGTTGGGAAGGTTGTTGATAAAAATCAGAATCAGCATGTCCAAAGATAGAACCCTTGTGAACTCCTGCGTCAATATGAAATGATCTAGAAGAGTGTCCATTCAACACCACCTTCATTATGCAGTTGCTATGAAAGTATTTATAGAAAAGACAGGGAAGCCACATTCTGTCTGTGAGAAAGTGACTGAAGTTGAGATGCCAGGTCTGGATTGATTACATTACAGATTCTGCTTTGAATTTTGTCAAGAGTTTCAGGATATATAGTAGAAGCACCAGACCAGATATGGCAGCAGTATTCAATGCACATATGAATGGTAGATTTATAAATGCACAAGATGGATTCTGAAGAGAAAATTTTTCTGGTATGATACAGTGAACCAACTTCCCTAGCAGTAGACCTGGCAATTGATTCAATATAATCACTCCATATCATATCAGTTACTCTCTTGGAGGTTAGCATCAGCCATACTGATGGCAGTCAGAAAAGATTCTCTATGGTGATTAAATGAAAGCAGTTTTGTTTTGGATGTGTTATAATTTACAAGCCATCCTTTGTCTCAGTTAACCACTGATTGGAAAGCCTTTTCGAGAGCAGTTGCCAGTTTTACATTGTCGGACTTGCAGGTGTAAATAGTTGTCATCTGCAAAAATACTTAATTGGAACTGATCCCTAAAATAAAATTCAATAACATGCTGGAGTATAACAGATGCATGAATAGACAGACAAAAAACAAACAACAAAGATAAGTTAATTTTTCTGCAGAAAATCAAAAACAATGATGAGCTTTCATCAGAAAAAGTCATCAGCAACTCAACAACCACCATTATTAATCAACATCTATTCTAAGGTTATTCCATGGTAACTTTGTTGCATGAATTGGCCATAAATAAGGAATGATTTTCTTTAATTAATTTTTGTTTACATACAAGAACATCCATTTCTGGATTTAATGTAGATATTGTACAAGCATTATAGATTAATTTCAGTACTAGATTGACAGATAGGTCTCATTATTTACAGTTGAAATGGTTAGATGTAACCATAAGTTTTATCCTAACAGTTTCTTCTCTTACACTTTTTGCTTGTGGAATTCTCCTCTGGCTTCTTGCTTTCCAGTCAATTTTGATCTTCAAAAATGTAAATGCAATGTCAATTATGATCTTCTGAATTCCTGTTTTTTATAGTTCTCTCTCCTTAAGGTTTTTCTCATATTTTTTCACACTCAGTATACCCCTTGTGGTTTTAATAGCTTTAATGTCTTGCTTGGAGTGAAATGAAAAAAAAGATATTTCTTGTCATGATCAAAATCAGAAACCTTGAACTTTAAGAATGAAAATGTTGAACTTAGGAACAGACAAAAAAGAAAAAAAAAAAAAAAAAAAGAAAAAAAAAAAGAAAAAAAAAAAAAACAATATTATTATATAATCTCTTGGTAATTTTTCTTGTTTTAAAAAGCAAATTTTAGAATTTGATTAAAATCCTGAAACTAAATAGTGAACTGAATCTCTCTTGAAAAATTAATATTACATTAGAAGTAGTAATCTAATGTAGTTATGGTTAATTACAACAAGAGAAATATATGAATCCTGTATCATATGTTATGGTTTTATTTAAATTCTAAAAATACTTTTTCAAACTCATTAAAATTACTGTGTGATGTTTTCTTCATCCCCCACCCACTAAAAAATCCAAAATAAAAACAAGATATTAATTCTCATATAATTATGCTCAAGTACAGATTATAAATTAATAATATTGTAAATAAACAATCAGATATTTTTCAAAGTTTTTGTCGTCAGTCATCAAGAAAAAATATGTATAAATTCAGGTTCACATGTTAGTTTTATTAAAATTCTAAAAATAACTTTTTAAAACAATAAAAATTATCAAACGATTATACAGTATTGCAGGGTCAAGAGAAAAAGAAACCTTTCGACACACCGTTTTTTTTTTTTTTTTTTGCTTGTCCCAAGTTTAACTTTACCCTCAAAACTTATGTCAGTTATATTTTAATTTTAAAATTCAACATTTGAATATTTGTGGGTTATGACAGCATCAATGCACAAGATAATATACAAACTTCTTCAATGGGTTGAATATAACTCTTAGTGGTTAAATGTATCAAAAACCCAATGAAAGAGTTTATTTAACTTGGGATTTTTTTATTTTATGGAACAGACTTCAGGAATTTTAAACTTTTTTATACGATAATTTAAAAGCTTTTTGCATATTATAAATATCAATGCTGAGTGTAGTTACTATCCATTAATATAAATATGAATGCCATTTTCACTAGACAAGTTTATATTCAGGATAGGGTGTTAGTTGTATAACATATTAGTGTGTTGCAATGTAACTACACATAAACAGGTTATTTTATTAATATTTTGTTTCAGATTTCATAAAAGAATGAAAAAAATTTCTATGGATTCAATGATCGTTAACATTCTTCCTAAAACAATGACATGTATTTAGAAAAAAAAATGAATTTTATAATCTACATTTTAAAATTGTCATGTCAAAATAGTGTTTCATATTCAAGTAAAAAAATTGTTTCCAAAATCATGACACAAAATATGCACCATGTGTTAAGAGTAGATTTATGGAAAAAGCAATTTAAGAATAAATAAATATATTAACTTAAAACTCTTCAATAACTGAAAGGTAAATCAGTTGAAAAATAGCATGTAATATCAGAGTTATTTCCCTTGATTTGCTGAAACGCTCCATGTCATAAAGTGAAACTAAAAATCAAGATTTCACGCTGAGATTTATCAAATTTGAAAATGTTACAACAAAACCAAAATGAAGCTTAATTTAATGAATGGGGAAAGACTGATAATATCTAATAAATTTTCGATATTGAATAAAATGTGACATGACAATAAGAAAAGAAAAGAATATTATTAGTTTAAGTTAAGAGCAACAATAAAAAGATCTAAGCATATCTTTTGGAGACTGTTTCTTTTAAAAGAGAGTGAGAAGCACACAATCTCCAAGTACATTCCACACAATGGGAGGGTTGATATGCCTGATATTTATGGGCCTGAACATCTGCAGATGAAAGTGTGTGAACTATAAGCCACCATGCTGTTTTATATATACTACTTGTCTGATTTATATATATATATTCTAAATAAAATGAATACTAAACAAATATTTTTCTTGGCAAAAGGATATCTGGGTTAATGAATATTTATATTTTAAAAATATTTTGTTTAATTAAAAAAAAAAAAATCTGAAAAACGTGCCTTCCAAAGCAAAAATATGTTTTTTCTATCTGTTTCTAAGATGAAGTACTGTAACTATATCCTCTATTTACATTGGGAAATAAACATAGGAAGAATGTCATTGCACTAATATTGAGAAACACCAACATACAGGTCAACTATTCTGTGTTTGGTTCAAAATTTAAACAAATATCACCTGAAGAAGGCCAGTGAAACGTTGTGAATGTGACAATAAAAATAAGGACAACAGTCTGAGAATGTAAATAGTATAAATAACATGTTTTTTGTATTTATCAGAATTCATATTATTAAAAAAATATTTTTAAAGAGTCAACAATCTATAAATATTTTAACTTCCATTAGTACTGTGGGGCACTGTCATAGTATCAGTAGCATGGGGATTTCAGATACTAGATATAGTTCTTAATTTTCTTGTTATATATTGTCACAAGTGTTCTTTCTGGCTTTTATAGGATAAATAGATATTTTAAAAAAAACAGTTTGCAATGATTTGGTTTGGTTGTCTTACAGCATATCAACCTCAATGGGTTACTTAATGCTGACAAAATTTTTATAGCTGGTAATGTTTTTCTTCAAAAATCTATTTCTGAATATTTTTCCTTGAAGAAATCTATAGCTAGTCATATTTTTTTTTCAAAGAATGTATAACTGTTCATATTGCTGGTATTGTTTTTAAAGTATTGCTGATAATAATTTTTCCTTCAAAAATTATTGCTGGTAATAATTCTTTTTTTTTTTTTTTTTTTTTTTTATTACAAAGTATTTCTGATATTAAAACCTATTTTTACACAAGTTTGGGTGTTAACTATTTTCCCATAGCTGGGACCCTAACAGGTGCTACCACCCCAAGTCAGGGTGGAACTTAGAACACGAGCAATTAAGAGGTGGTTCCATGCTCCTCAAAACCTCCTGATCAGAAGTATTTTTGTTGGATGTAGTTTATCGCCTTACCCAGGATGTGGATGTAGTTTGTCATACCCAGAACGACAATTTGTAATGACAAAATTTCATCTAAACATGAATGTATCAACAAAGAAAATATTTTGCATAAGAAACTATTAGTTTCCAAAAATCCAGTTATGAAAATAAATGAAGAAAGAATCAAATGAAATCAGGAATTCAGAAAGTAAAGAGGTTCTTATGAAGGAAAGATACAATCATGGAAAAGAGGAAAACAGCAAAAGAAACTGCAGTATTCTACAATCCAAAGCAGTCAGGCTTCTATTGACATTCAAATTTCCAAATTTGGACATCTACCTAGCTCATGCCAAGTATTACAAGCATTAGTCACACATTTAGTCAGTTTCCATTCCACCAAGTGGTGTTTACAGCTACCTGCAGGACTTTCAGGCACAATGGGTGTTGGTGATGGCTGGGTTGAGGGAGTCTGTGATTTGGACTTTGGTAGAATCTGGATTGGTATGACTGTTCCCTCTGAAGTGTCGACAGGCATGTCTTCAGTAGGACTTGGAGCTGTTGACTTCTGAACTGGGATCTCAATCACTTGTGCAGGTGACATTGGAGAGGTCAGAGGCAAGGGTGAACTGATAGAGGATGCTGGGGGTGGAGTTGGGAACATTACCGGGGCTGGTACAGGAGACATTAATGGAGCTGGCACAGGAGACATTACTGGGGTCAGCACAGGAGATATTATTGAGGCAAGCATAGGAGACATTACTGGGGCCGGCACAGGTGACATCACAGGTGACATTACCGGGGCCGGCACAGGAGACATTACCGGAGACATTATCGGGACTGGCACAGGAGATGTTACTGGGGATACCACTGATGATGCAACTTGATCTGATGTAGGTGTTATAAATGGGGCTGTCATAGAAGAAGGTGCCAAGGTGGGCTGTGACAGTGGAATTTGAGGTGGGCTATATCCGAATGACTTTAAAGGCTTAATAGTTGGAAGAGAGAAATACAAGTTTGGATTTTCTGCTGTTTCATTGATGGACTTAAAGACAGTTCTCCTGTCTGCTGGAGTTTCTTGTTTTTCTCTTTCTGGAATTTTACATGCATATGACGTAGATGTGTAGGTGGTGGTACTAATACTTGGGCCTTTACCAAAACTAAGTCCTGCATCTTTAAGTTGAAGGTCTGTTTTTGGCTGCTGTTTGGCAACTGGGACAGGCATTGTTTGCATTTGCCTAGCAAAGACTGAATTTGGAGAAGGGGGTTCATATGGAGGGGGTGGAGGAAAGTGTGGAGGAGGTCCTGCCGACTCAAGTGGCCTAATTTTGTCAGCATCTAATATAAAATTAAAAATTAAAAGTAAATTAGTGTTAGAAGTATTTTTACGGGAGTTTTGTTTCTTTTTTTTTTAAGGTTTTAAAAAAAATTTTAATGATTAATGTTCTTGAGCAAGCAGAAAGACTAATATCTTGTCACAATTCAACTGAATCCAAACAAAAGATATAAAATCATCAAATATTCACTTATGGACCAACTGCAAAACACATTTACAATTAAGGGTAACCATACAAGGACAGAAAGGAGAAAAAGAAGAAGTGTCAAATGACTTCTGAAAACAGAATAAAGAAACCAGTTTAATTCCAAAAAATAAAACCAAAAGAATAATTTGCAAAGAAAAATAAAATTCATCATCCAAATAAATAAACAGCAAATTCTAACTGTATGCCTGTCCATGTGCCTGAATCCCCTTTAACTCGGGTTACACTTGCTCTATATAGACATATTATACCATCTTGGAATAGAATGATCCTGAGATTAAAAATCTGCTCTTCATCTGGTGCTTGAACATCTAGCATTGTGATTTGTGTCCAGATGAGGAGGGAACAAGTTAAAAATTCAAATTTTAAAATAACTGAAAAAAAATTAATAATTTTAAAAGTTTTTAATTTATATTGAGTTTAAAGTAATACAAAAACTTTGTGAATTTAAAAATTTTGTTTTAAATTCAGTTTAAAATATTTCCCAAACTTTGTGAATTGAAGAAATCAATTTTATGTCTTTAAAATTCCAAAGAATGAGAGTTAAACTGAGATGTTCCATGATGCAAGGTTTTGAAGTTTCACAGAGTTTATGATTTGAACAACTCAACTAAATTTAAGATCCATGGAGTTTGTGATTTGAAGAATTCAATTTTCGGCCTGAATTAGTATTTTGGTCCAAATCAACTTTTGGCCAGAATTGGACTTATAGCCGAAATCAGGGTTAAAGTGAGGTTTCAAAGTTCCATGGCATGAACTGAAGAATTCAAAGTTATTTTCTTCAAAATTATCATTTTGAATAATGATTATTATTAATCATTATTAATAATTATTATAATAATTATAATTATTATTAACCGAAACGGTGCACATTCTCTCCTGATGACCCCAGTTTAAAATTCGAGAGGAACACATCAAAATTCAGTGAAATCATATGCCATAGAGAAGCTCGGTGGAAGTGTCATTGGCATGAGGAGCATTATAGATTCAGCTCGCTTCAGGTGAGTTTCAATTACTTTCCAGTAATTTCCTTCTTCATTGCTGTTTTCTAAACTGGACAAGAAGTCTTTTTAGGTTTGGGCCAGAGGCCCAATTGGCAACTCCAAAAGAATTGAAAGTTCAAAAGGAGAGCAGCTTTTAAGCTAGTAGTAAATTAGAAGCAAAACACATAAAAGAGAATGTACAATGTTGGAAAGTAAACAATCTCTTTGTTTGGTTCATATATTTCCTTTAAACAAACTTCTATTTTATAGAAATTCAAATATATGATAAACCTTAAAAAGTATCAGAAGACTATCATGAATGATCCTAAGCTGATTAATATATAACAACCAGGAATGTACCCAGGGACATTGTGATTAGTATGAAATTCAGCATTACAGGTATCTCTTGATCCATTCCTGCATGTTGTTATTGTTTCACCCCCACATCTTGGTTTGGTTCCCAATTCGGGTTTCTTGATTCTATAGAATCATAGAATTCTATAATTCTTGATTCTATAGAATCTATAATTCTATAATATAGAATTCTATACTGAACAATGGAGTTGTTTAGTTCGGTGCCTTTTTCTTTCTTTAATATAATTATTACTTTTTTTTGGCAAGCTAATATATATATATATATATATATATATATATATATATATATCCTTGTTTGAAACAGCTTCTAATGCTCTGGATGGAGCGACTTGGGGCTAGTAGTCGTGGCTCATGGGGGTGGGTATGTGATCAAGCAGCGCAGTATCAAGTCTGATTCACTACCTCTTCATCACCGGGGCCCATTGGAACAGTTGGTATGACGTTTGCCTGATAACATAACTGTCTGTCAATTCTCAGTAGTGGATACGCACTGCTGATGAGTCCCAAATATAGAATGAAACGGCCATCCAGTACTTTCTGCATTCTGTCGAGGTTTCTTCTAGACTCAATGAATTAATTATAATTATCTCAAATCCTCCTAATTTCTATCACACACACACATATATATATATATATATATATATATATATATATATATATATAAAGATAAAAATCCATTGATATATAATCCAGGTGGATCCTAGTAATATGAAAATATTAGAACTGATCCGCAAAACAGAGCTTGATGTATTTAATTTAATTTATACAGAGCAATATAATTAATAATCAAACAAATCCTTTTACATCATATGGGGAATAGGCTATTGTGGCAGACAAGAAAAGTGATTGTCTGTCTTTTCAACCCTGGTGTGGAATGAAGTTCATGTTTGTAAGGTTAGAGGAAGCAGGATGTAGCAGTTAAAGTTAAAGGGTCAAATTAAACCGTAACTTGCCAAAAACACCTAATACAGAATTTACACTTCTCACTGTTTCAGTCAGATGCTAGGCATGAGACAGGGATCAAGAAGGGTGGTAAATGTCTATCTTAAAGGCGAGAAGTTTTACTAAAAAAAAATATTAACCTTATGACAACAAATTGGGGTTTGAAAAAGACAGACAACCACTTTTGTCATCTGCCGAAATAGCCTATTCCCCTATTCTCCACATGAGCTAAAAGGATTTGTTTCATTATTATTATATATATATATATATATATATATATATATATATATATATATGTATGTATGTGTTTTGGGTTAATTAGCCAAAAACAGTTACAGCAATACAAAAATCAAAATTCTTGAGAATGAATGTAGCAATATTTGAAAGTACCCAGAAGGAAAAAAAGAAATTAAAATATAAAACAACTAATTTGGAAATTTGAAAAGATTAATAAAAAATTGGATTGACAGAATTTGTCAATATTATTCAACAAAAAATATATATATATATATATATATATATATATATATATATATATATATATATATATATACATACATACATGAATATGAGAAAAAATGTTATGCTGATATATTTAATTTCTTAAGAAACTTTATAAAGACAAATGTAGAAATTTTATTTACGAACTTGTATTTATACACACAGAAAAAAGTAACCCAACACTCTGGGTCTATACACACACTTCATTATTTCTATTTTTTTTATCACTAGTTTTAATCCATCTTATTATTGTTGCTTTTTATCCTAAATACTATGGGATGAAACTTATTACTAATAATAAACTGATTCTCAGAAGGAAAACTATATAAATTGATGACAAGAGAACAAAACATTCTATAGAACAAAATAATGATCAAGAGATAGAAAATAGTAATAAAACAAAATCAAGGCAGTAAAGTTTTAATTGTAAAAAGATGTCAAACTCTAGTGATAAAAAGGGGGAATAATTACAAAAGTAAAATTAACGTAATAAACCATTATTCATTTTTGCATAATATTTCTTTCTTTAGTTGCTTATTTATTACAATTACTCAGGCCATAAGTCTGTAACAGTTTGTAAACAGCCAGGAAATATAAGGATAAGCACACTCCTTTATCTGTTCTGTTTACTATATAATTACAACAGAAAGCAAATTGATTTAAAATGAAAGCAATAGTTATCAAAAATGAATAATGATTGACAACGCTTCATCTAACAGAGATTCTAAACAAAGATAATTCTAATTCTAAGAAGAATCTATTTTGTTTAGTTTATCATTAAAAGACAAATATTTAAAAAAATTTATAACATATTTGAAACAAAATAAACTTCTGGGATTATGAAAGTTCATTTTCATCCCTAAATATAAAAAGAGCAAAAGTTTTAATCATTATTGTTATTATAAATTGCAAACGAATCCTTAAAAAAAAAAAAAAAATGCATTATTCAAGTGTCCAGAGAAAATGTATATGAAAATATTATTTTACCAAATGCTAAGAAAAAAAAAAAAAAAAAAAAAAAAAAATCACCTTAGAGACAAGAAATTTTGTAAGGAAATTATTTGCTAATATTAATAAAAGAATTTCATTCCAAAAACAAAAAAAAAAAAAAAAAAAAAAAAAAAAAAAGAAGAATTCACTAACTTGATTAGATGGATTTGCTCAGTGTTTATTCTCCACCTGTACCCAAGGGGGAAGATGTTCAAATCCAGACAAAAGCCAGGATTTTAAACAAACTTTAAAAGCAAACAAACTGGGAATCAATCAGAAGACTGGTACAATACAAACTTCCTAATCCTTTTCTTTCATTTTGTCCTTGTGCCAAACTAAACCAATTGTAGCAACTTATCCATATATCATACAAGTGCCAAAAAAAAGTGGAAAAATACAGCCAAAAAGAATGAAATATGAAAAAAAAAAAAAAGAATAAAAAATAATAAAAAAAAAAACAAATAAAAAAAAAATAAATAAAAAAAAACAAATAAAAAAAACAAATAAAAAATCTGTGAATTCCATTTAACAAACTTTACTTTATATGGGGTTATGTTGAAGTTTTGTACCTACATTTCAATATTATTCTTATATAAAACATTCAGTCATGATATTTTTGTGAATAAGGTTTTAATTGATTTTGAATTTAAGTAATTTTTAATAATTTCTTGAAAAACCACATCATATAATAACCTAACACTTAATAGTTACCTGGTAACAATAAAAGCAAAAAGTAACTTATAATGAAATAGGTTGAGATTTCAAATTAAAACCAGATATAAGAAAAAGACACTCTCCTTTGTATTAAGTCAATTATATTAACACTGAACCTTAATGAACAGGGGTGAGAAAACATTTTGAATAAGCAAGTTTTATAAAAATGGAGGGAATTGCCAATTTGGATCATAAGTGATTTCATTCAGTTGAATAAATAAAAATACAGCTCTTATTGTATTTTTCACTGACAGTTTTAGACATAAAACAAAATAACCAGAGATTGACATTA